AATCCCAACAGCAATCTCAGGGTGAAGTAATGATTGAGAGCGCTGTGCAAAGCGATTGGGATCAAGGAAATGTATACAAAACAACAGAGGAAAAAGAAAACATGAAATGTGTACATTTTAGGTTTTTTTAAAATTTAAAAATAAAAGATTTCCCAAATTGAAAAACAAATAGCACCCGAAAGGAGTTTTCACAAGTTATGGGAGGAGGACGGTGAGGTTGTGGAAAGAGAAATCAGGTAAAAATAAACTTAATTTGTGAATCGAAAGTGTGCGTTTCTTTCAGAGTTGGCAAAGCAACAAGCAGAACTCGCTATAAGGTGATGTTACGCTGCTTGACCCTCTGTACATCGCATGTCCAGGAGTGAAGCTTGATAGGTCTGTATTAAACTTCTAGCCAGTTAAATAAAAAAAGATTTAGACGATGGGACTTAATCCCAGTTACACTGAGAGTTTTCGACTTCACCAGACATTGTAACTAAGTAACCGTGAAAACATGACCAAGCGTTGATCATCTCCCATTACCGGAGCAACTGAATTGAGAAGTGTGTGTGTCAAACAGGGAAATCCCTCCAACACAGTTCCAGACTGGCAGATCAGATATTTGGCCAGATGCTCGCTAGTCTCTGATGGGGACATGGCCTTCCTTTTCTTGCTTGAAGATATAGGCGACTAAGTGTAGAGTTCAATCATATGAGTGACTGTAAAGGCAGAAAGAAGCATTAGGTTGGACGAATGTCAAGAAATCGCAAAGTAGAATAACGGCGTTAATTCGGAAATCGATCAGAAGGCAGATAAGGAAAGATGTGAGCTGGATCATCGGGGAAAATGTGAAGGGCATTTAGACACTTCAAAAACAGTCAATATGGAGTGTATGTCCGAGTGACCATCTTATCTATCAGTATTTTGGACTTTTACATCCTGCAGTAGTTTGCTCCAGGTGACTCGGTGTTCAGTTGGACAAGGTGCACAGAAGCAATAACAGCGCTCGGGAAATGCGATAAATGGAAAACTACAACTTGAATTCATTCGATTGCATAGGGTCTTGCAACATGCAGTGGAATTATGCTCCGTGGAAGTAGTACACAGATTTCAACAGAATCCTTTCACCCTGTACCCGATTTCCAAATCAGTAAAGTATAATATCCATGTTTTCTTTTACCAAATTATCCCACATCTTCAAAGTGGCCAGTCCAGAGTTCAAATTTCATTCTTGGCGGGTGGGGTGGTGTGGTGTTGGCGAGGAAGAGAAAGGGAAAGTAGAGGAAGAAGAAAACGTCTTGCAGCCTTTCACAATAAATACGGATGAGGTGCAGTGCGAAAACTGGCTTATGTGGAGCAAAGGAAGAAAAATGAACTTGAGTTGCTAGGGCTGCAAGAGAGGTTAAATTCTGCGCAAAATAATTGCCAAAAATCTTTCCGTTTTCTCACTCCGCGATATTTAGCAGAACTAGAGGACATTCACAAGGTTGAAATGGAATCTGTGGAAATAAAACAACTTATATTTATGTAGCACCTTTAAGGTAATGGTTGGGTGGATTGGCCACTCTAAATTGCCCACAGTGTCCAGGGACGAGTAGGCTAGGTAGGTTAGCCATGGGAAATGCAGGGATACAAGTACGGGGTGGGTCTGGGTGGGATGATCTTCGGAGGGGTGGTGTAGACTCATTCGCTGAATGGCCTGTTTCCACATTGTAGGGATTCTGTTCTAATGGAATATTCCAAGTTGTTTCACATACAGACATAAAAGAAAGGCTAGCTTGGAAAAGGATAACTCATGGCCACTTTCAACAATGGGAAGCTGGGGACAGTGAAAAAGGAAGCAGGCTTTGGGGAGTCAGGAGGTGAGTACTTGCTGCAGTATTCCTAGCTTCTGACCTGCTCTTACAGTCACATGTTTATGTGGTGAGTCCAGTTGAGCTTCTGATCAATGATAACCCCCAGGATGTTGATACTGGGGGGATTCAGTGATGGTAACACCATTGAATGTCAAGGGGTGGTGGTTAGATTCTCTCTTATTAGAGGTGGTCATAGCTTGGCATTTGTGTGGCATGAATGTTACTTGCCACTTGTCAGCCCAAGCCTGGATATTGTCCAGAACTTGTTGCATTTGGACATGGACCAGTTCAAATCAATGTGAAGTAGAGAGGGAGAGGAGAGGGGGCAGAGAAGGAGAGAGCAGGACGGAGAGCCGGAGAAGAGGAGGAGGAGGAGAGGATGGACCAAGGTGGAAGAAGAAAGAAAAATGGGTGGAGGGATGGGGAAGGAAATGGGAGAGGGAAAAGGAGAGAGGGAGTGGGGAGAAACGAGAAAGGGAAGGGGTGGGGGGGAGGAAGTAGGGCAGAATCACAGGGAAATTCAAAGCCCCACCGAGTAACAAGCTTTTGATTGAAGCAATCGTGAGGATGGGGCGGCATGGTGGCTCGGTGGTTAGCACTGCTGCCTCACAGCACCAGGGACCCAGGTCCGATTCCAGCCTCAGGCAACTGTCTGTATGGAGTTTGCACATTCTCCCCGTGTCTGCGTGTGTTTCCTCTGGGTGCTCCGGTTTCCTCCCACAGTCCAAAGATGTGCAGGCTAGGTTGATTGGCCATGCTAAATTGTCCATAGTGTTCAGGGATTGTGTAGATTAGGTGGGTTATAGGGTGATGGGTCTGGGGGGGATGCTCTGAGGGTCAGTGTGGACTTGTTGGGCCGAACAGCCTGTTTCCACATTGTAGGGACTCTATGATCTATCAAACGTTTCTATACTATGTGGAAACATTATACCAGAGACCTGCATTTTTGTCACATCTTTAACAACCCAGGACATTCCAAAGCACTTTAGAACCAATGAAATACTTATGAAGTGTAGTCACTGTTGTCATGCAGGAAAAGTGACCAACATCCACAACAAGCTCCGACATGAATATCATAATGACTGGAAAATCTCTTTTCAATGATTCTGGTTACAGCACCGTCAGATCTTTTACATTCACCTAAAAGGGCAGACAGGGCCTTGGTTTAACACTTCATCCCAAAGCCAGCTGAGTGCTCCTTTGGAGCATCAGCTTGGATTTTGTGCTCAAATTTCTGGGGTAAACTTGAATCCATGACTCTCTAATTCAGAGATGAGTCTGTTACCTCCTGAGCCACAGTTCTAATTCGAGGCCTATGTTACTTCGTACGAATCCCATATTGAAGACAGATATTTTTCAAAAACTTTAAGTGCAAGAATAGAAATACAGTCCCAGCGCTGATGTGTGAAATCTATTTCATGTACTCACAGTGAATGTTCTTCCTTTGAAGGGTAAAGATGTAATTATTAATTGCCATAAGAATGTGAAGGCATTAGAGATGGAACAGAACATTCACAATTGTTTTTTTGGAAAGAAATCAGATGTGGGCATTGCTGGCTGGGTTAGCATTTATGCCTTCCCTAGCTACCCTTGAGAAAGTGGTGGTGAACTGCCTTCTTGAACTGCTGCAGTCCATTTGGTGTAAGTGCACCCACACTGCTGTTAGGGAAGGTGTTCCAGGATTTTGACCAAGCAGCAGTGGGGGAACAGCGATATATTTCCAAGCCAGGGTGGTGTAGGTGGTAGTGTTCCCACGTCGATGCTGCCCTTTTCCTTCTAAATGGTAGAAGTCATAGGTTTGGAAGGTGCTGTCTAAGGAGCCTTGGTGAATTTCTGCAATGAATCCTGTAAATGGTACACACTACTGCTATGTTCTGGAAGGTGTTGAGCTTCTTCAGTGTTGTTGGAGCTGCACTCATCCAGGCAAACAGGATATATTCCATCATAAACAATAACAGAAATTGTTGGAAAAGCTTAGCAGGTCTGGCAGCTTCTGTGGAGAGAAATGTTTTGGGTCCAGTGACCCTTCCTCAGAACTTAGTTTTCTCTCTACAGGTGCTGCCAGACCTGCTGAGCTTTTTCAGTAATTTATTTGTGTTTCTGATTTCCAGCATCTGCAGTTCTGTCAGTTTTTATATTCCATCATATTCCTGACTTGTGCCTTGTAGTTGGTGCACAGGCTTTGGTGGGGAGTCAAGAGGTGCATTACTCACTGCAGGATTTGTATCTTCTGACCTGTGCCCATAGCCACAGTACTCATATGGCTAGTCCAGTCCAGTTTCTGGTCAATAGTAACCCCCAAGGTGAGGATGTGGAGTTGCCGGTGTTGGATGGGGGTGGACATGTCAGAAATCACACAACACCAGGTTATAGTCCAACAGGTTTATTTGAAAACACAAGCTTTCGGATCCTCAGTCCTTCTTCAGGTGTTAGTGAGAGAAGTAGTATCAGGCACAGAATCTATAAATAAAAGATCAAAGGTTCACACCATTGGTGAGGATGTACTAAACAAACCTAAGATGCTGTTAAATCTTCAATCAGTTAGGTTTCAATTGAGTAATATGTATATGTAAATACCTGAATTCCTTTCAAGTCATCATCCTGAGAGAACTAAAGGTTTTAATCAGTGTAAAGAAGAGGTGACATTTTAGGTCAGACACTGCATGTTAAGTGTGAGGAGATAGTAGGAACTGCAGATGCTGGAGAATCTGAGATAACAAGATGTAGAGCTGGATGAACACAGCAGGCCAAGCAGCATCAGAGCAGGAAGGCTGACGTTTCGGGCCTAGACCCTTCTTCA